CAGCAGTAGTTGGGATAGTAGCAGTCGCCGTCGTACCGGACACAGCATTACCAGGATGCTTGTGATAGCTAGTACCAGCATAAGCAATGAGTCCAGAATAGATGGACAGATAGATGGATGGATGGATGGATGGATGGACGGACGGATGGATGGATGGATGGATGGATGGATGGATGGATGGATGGATGGACAAACTGATGGACGAGATAGACAGAAGGAGAGGGAGGGAACAGTTGTACGAACGGCGCATCTAGTCTACTCGCATTGATGCATACATTCAGGCAGACGTGCCGATGCTTCTTTAGTGTTTGCGCACTTATCAGTTGTAGGTCTTCCGTTTTGTCACGATCTGTTTCTGTGCCCTACGTGTTATGCCTGAACCCTGAACCCTTAGCTCTAAACCGCCAAACCCCCAAAGCCCCGAAGCCGGAAACACCGAAGCCCTAAACCGCTTAAGAGTGACTGCGAGGCACAAGTGTAGGGAGGAGGCGGCTTCGGAGTCCTTGGAAGTCTTCCTTGGTCGGTTTCGGTTTTTCGGAGTTTATTAATGTGTTTTGGGGGGTTTGGGGCTTCGCGGTGAGGGGTTTAGGGTGTCGGAATTTAGGGTTTAAGGGTTTGGGCTTTAGGGTTTCGGGTTTCAGGGTGTGCGGCTTGGGGTTTCGGAGTTAGAGGCCTTAAAGCTTTAGTACCGGGGTCTAGGGCTAGGGGTGAATGGGGCCACTATAGGGGTTCAAGATTTAGGCTTTATAGGTGTCTAGGACCTTATGGCGTCGGGTTTAGGGGTTCCAGGTTTAAGGGTTGCGGGGCTTCGGGATTAGCGATCTCGGGAGCATCGGCGAGGACATCAGGGTACCTCTTCCCTGGGTCCCTGCGCGTCAACGCTCAAGTCGTTGGTTTTGGCGGGCATCGGGTTTGCCAAGAACCCTGACTTCATGTGAAACAATACCATTCCAGGGACTCGCTATATACATGCATCTGAGAAACCCTAATTAAACTAAGCGCCACTGCCACTTCATAATAACGCAAATCCCGAATCCATGGAACATCAGCGGCACCGGGTCCTTTTGCAGAGCTACATGCCAAATCCAAATCCATAAACTGTCATGAACCCCAAGACCTCTTGCAATCTTCTGCCCGTCAGTTATCCTTCAACTCTTCTTCCCAGACCAAGGCTCGTAAACTCGACGAAACGTTCTTGGTCCTCAATTTGAGCTGGAGGGAAGGACCGATGCTCGATTATGTTTGGAGGCTTGAAGACCGGTATCCGCACGATGGTCTCCAAGCCCATATGCACCACGAGCCCGTGCGAAACCCTGAAGGTCGAGAAGCTGTGTCAAACTTAAGTACACGATCTCACGCGCGAAGCCTCAAGCCTGGATCCTAACCGAGTGGCTGGAGGTAGTTAGGAGTTTAGGGGCTACGGCTAAGGTGTCTCAAGAATTAAGAACTTAACGTCTTTGGATTCGTTGAGTAAGGTTCGGAGTGTCAGGCGTAGAAATTCATGGCTCGCGGATCAAAGCTGAGTTCCAAGGGCTCCAGGTTGCAAGGTCGAAGGACATGGGTCCTCGTCACAGATGAACTGCAAAAAGGGAAGTGCCGTCTCCACCTGTCCAGTCCAAGGTCGTTAAACACCACAACATAAGCCCTAAGTGTTTCGCCGAATGCAACACGAACGGAAGTCGGAGAATATGATCTCATGAAAATCGTACCTCATTCCTTCCCTTCGGTGTTGTTGCGAAGCCCCACGTTGTCAGATTTTGTGCAGAAGTTTTCAGCCGACGACGGTTTGTACATCGCCGCTACATGAGCAAGGGGCTGAACTGAACATGCAAAGAGTGTTCAAGATTTTGGGGTCCAAATTTGTGGTTGCAGGCTTCGCACATTAAGTTTCGGCCTGGAAGGGCAAGGAATTGCAGGATACGACGATAGCAACAGCCGAAGCAATAGAAGGCTGAACAGAGTCTGAATCAAAGGAACACAGCATGAGAACATGCATGCACTTCAGCTCGTTGGGCATCTGCAGGCTGAAACAAACCCCATGAACTTCGTTCACCACCTATATGGGAGTTTCCAAAAATTAGGGTACCCTATTTGGGGTCCTTAGAATAAGGATCCTATTATTTAGGGTACTGTATTGGGGTCCCCTATTTTTGGAAACCCCCCCCATATCCGGTTTGTGCAGAACGGATGGAAGCCCGACGGCCTGAGGCATGGTGCTTGAATTGTGGAATTCTCACTGGGCCTGGGTTTGGGTTTACATAGGGTTTAGGGTTTAGGGTTTAGGGTTTAGGGCCTGACTCCTTGAATTACTTGAACAGCCTACCGAGCCGTTTATCTTACAATCGAGCACCAGCCCTGAAACTACTTATGGAAAAACGCCACCACCTGCTCCGGCTGTGTTGGAGGCAACTGTAGCCTTAGAACGGGATGTCCGATCATAGCTGTGCGTCGATTTCGTTACTGTCTTTCCTACCCGCGTGTCTTCATCGTACAATCCGGTAAGGGGCATGACATGGTCTGAATTTTGGGGTTGCTTCCTCCGGACGTTCCGTGTTATGTCGCATCTTGATCTGGTTTTTGCGGGAATGGCAGAGTCATCGTGCCCGACAAACTAGCGCGGCAGCTCCGCTTGGCACGGGGTATCTGGGTGAGAATACTGCGCATTCTAGAAAGCACGGGACGCTTCGGCGGCCCTTGCATGAGATTCCTGCCTGAACCTCGCGAACCTAACCTAGCGCGGCAGCTTCGCTTGGCACGGGGTATCTGGGTGAGAATACTGCGCATTCTAGAAAGCACGGGACGCTTCGGCGGCCCTTGCATGAGATTCCTGCCTGAACCTCGCGAACCTATACAGTCTATTTCCAGCTTTAGCCCCTGCAACGGTGTGTGAACAAGATCAATGCCATGAACGTATTTCCTGTTTGCAGCCTGTCACTGCATGGTGTAAGTAACGTGCTCCTACTGCCAATTCACGTGGGGTAAATGACAGGGATATTCGGGGCCTTCTTCTGGCATGCGTATACTGTACGATCGCAACACTCGCAGAATTATCAGGAGTTCCTCGCATGTTGTCGCCCCAACATTTTACATATGCCGCATGTGGTGTATGGCTGTGCACGTTGACGATGATGAGGTGTCCATGTCATAGCAAGGCAAAACACATCAAACTGTAAAGTCAATCACTCTCATGTCCCGTGATGGCAGTGCTGATATTTCGAAACCAATCCCGTCGTGTTACAGATTCAATGCCTTGACGCGACAAACGGCATCAGAAGGATCTTACGTCATGCCACTGCATGGCTTTTGGCTGGTCATGTCCCTACATCCTAAACCCCTAAACCCCTAAACCCTAAAAGCTAACCCTAAACCCCTAAACCCTAAACCCCTAAACCCTGAAACCCGCATAAACCCTAATAAGCTACGATCTAGGTTCCCTACATCCGGAAGTATCATGGCATCCAGGGTGTCGGATCTTCCCCGGCCTTCCTCAACTCTCCGCTCCCTAAATCGGCTTCTGCGCTGAGACTTCGAACTCGAAGCCCGGCTCGTCACAGCAGATTTAGGGTGGTTCATTGTTTATTGTTTAGGGGTTTAGGGTTTAGGGTTTAGGATTTAGAGTAAGTTTGTTGTGCAGGGGTTTAGGAGTTTAGGGTTTAGGGATATTTATTCTTAAGGGGTTTTACAGGACAAGAAAAGCCCCGAAATGCCCAAACACCGCGTCGGAGCAGCGCACCCGCAATCGTAACCCACAGTGCAGCCGTACACTCTACTTAAGGAACACGAAACCTGAACCCAAAGCCCTAAACCCTAAACCCTAAATCCTAAACCCTAAATCCTAAATCCCAAACCCTAAACCCTACACCCTAAACCCTTCTAGATTAAGCCATCCCTGAGATCCTAAGCTCGATCGGCTCTCGCACAGAACAACCTTCAATCGTAGATCTGAAACAAGTCTCAAAATCCAGAGCTTACCTATATTATTTTGGGGGGTTCCTAATTATAAATGTAGTATAAAGGGCCCCGAAGTCCTATTCTAATTATAAAGGGCCGCACAAACACCCAGTGTAGCATCAGACAAAAGCTCTGTAAGGGGTTTAGGGTTTAGGGTGCCAAACCTCTTGAAAACTGTGCTTTACGATTAATGGTTGGGTGTAGGGCTTCAGGTTCAATGTACGGGATACGTGGTCGGAGAAGAGAACCCGATTTATGAGTGTTTGAAAGGCTGTTTATGGGAGATTAGTTCGGGATTAAGTGTCAGGTACCAGCATACGGACTAAATAGGAAACCTACACCCTGGTAACCCTAAACCCTAGAAGCCCTAAGCCCTAAGCCCTAAACCCTATAAACCCTATAAACCCCAAACCCTATAAACCCTATAAGCCCTATAAGCCCTAAGCCCTAACCGCTCCTGAAAAGGGAACTGGTGCTGGCATTTCGGCACTAGTGGGTGCTCGGACTCCAGGGCTGTTGCGTTCAGGCTTCGCGCAATGAATCTGCTGTTTGGCCTTCCCAGGATCCGTTTAAAGGGGATCTACAAGGGATCTATGTCGCGCTTCCGCAAGGGATCTATACTAGGGTGCTATAGTCTATAGTCTTTTGGGGGTCTGAAGACTTAGAAGAAGCTTTCTTTAGGGGCGTTAGAGCTGAAACGTCGGGTCCGCCTTATTGGGCTGTCCCGACCGTGCAGCAAATCGCTGTTCCCGGCGCTAGGCTTGGGAACAAAACCAGGATAATATGCCGAAGAACTAAAGCCCTGAACCCAATCCCCCAACCAGGCTCTACCAACCCTCACCAGCTCCCAACAAAACACATCTTTAAGGATCGGAGCGCGTAAGGAACTCATAAGAAGGAAGCCTAGCACCGTAGGCTTTTGGGGGTTGGAGCAACCCCTGCGTCCTGGAAAAGGCACATACTGTTGATGAGATAAATCCTGCATTACCTGAAGGACCCTAAGTTATGGGACTTACGGTATATATTCTTTATCATGGGTAATGCAGGATTTAGATCATCAGCCGTAGCTCTCTGAATTGCAGCCGGCGGGGCAATTCCATGGCCCTCCTGGTCGGATTCAGCAGATCCCAATTGTTGCTCAGCTGCTCGCAGCCTCTTCGAACTTCCAACGGCTGTCGATTCTAAGGTTCGGGGTTCATAGTTCATGTAGGGGCCTTAATAATTAGAATAGGGGGTTGAGGTTCCTTGTGATAATTATAGCATAATATACCCCAAACCCTGTTCTAATTGTTAAGGCCCCTACATTACGGGTTTAGGGTCGCAGGGTCTAGGATTACCGGGGCCTTTCGAGCTAAACTCAAGACGAGGATCCCAGGCTCAAAGTACTATGAAGTTCATGGGGTTTAGGGTTTAGGGGTTTAGGGTCTAGGGTTTAGGGGCTCGCTGAGAGTACTATGAAGTTCATGGGCTGCAGGGCCGACAGTCCTTCCTTGCGGATTTAGGGCTCCATTCTTGCAGTTTCCGGCCTTCAGGGACTTCTCTTTCTGAAAGCGCAGGGTCTTTCGGTGGTAGTTTAGAAGTCTGATCAGCTTGTAATACCAGGGTTTAGGGTTTAGGATTCGTCCCTTTCTCCCTTGTCCAATCCACTTTTTGATGGACCCCACCAACCTGTTCTGATTATGGAGGTCCGTATAGTACCTTAATAAGAATTAGAACAACGTCTTGGGATCTACATGATTCTAACGACTATGGAGTCTATAACGTGATACCATTGCTATCATGCTCCATAGAAGCTGATGCCTCAACTTGGCGCCCGACGAGGCGACCAAGTGAAGTCAGCTAACTAAATCTATACAGTGACCAGTAAGGCAAGGAACGTAGAGAAGATAATATCGCTCCGTATGCGTGTAACTGTCTGCAGGTTTCGCAACACACCCAAATATCAAGAACTCTGCCATCTGCGGAAAACTTGTTGTCGCAACGGGTGTGCTTTAAGTTTGTAGTCTTTAGCGTTTGTCGTGGCTCTGATGGTACACTTTAAACGGGCTTGAGGATTCTAGTACTTTGTGTTTTTAGGGTCCGGTGGGGTCCTTGCAGGGTTCCGGGGCCTAACCTTTGGGACCAAAAAGGTCAAAGTTGTAGGGCTTGCGGTTAGGGTTTGGGGTCAACTAGGGCGAGGCGCAGTCGCAAGTGACAGACAGCAGCCGACGAGCAGCAGCCAAAATCTGCTGAATCTCCTGCAAGAACGCACCCTGGCCCCCTAAAAACCCTTATAGAACCCCGGCCGAACCCTTGTAGAACCCTGGTGCAGCCACAATGTTATAGTATCCTTATGGACCCTAGAGAGCTCGCGGGAGGAGATCTAAGGGGGGCTCTAAGTCGGTTCACGCCTTACGGGCGCTGAGGACGCATGCAAATAGAGCGTTTTTAGAGCAGAAGAACTTTAGGGTTTAGGATTTTGGGTTTAAAGATCCGTAAAGTCTAAGCTGTGGCTCATGATTCTGGGCTTCAGGGTTTAGGGCTCATGGGCTTGAGGGAGGGGTCAGGACACGGGTTACGGGTTACGGGTTAGGACATTCCGCAGCAGGGCCTTCAAGAACCTATGGCCCAGATCTCTGTGTAAGAGTACTTCGAATGGACCGTCACCAGCAAGCCATGGGATTCTGCAGCTCGATGTACGATGAAACACAAACGTTTGAAGTCTCTGGACCGTGAGATGTAGATCAATCATCGGTTTAGAGTGCTCTTCTCTGCTCGGATCCGAGTGAATAGACCGAACCTACTACAACAGCCATATAAACACTACATTCCTTCAACCAAACAGACTCCGGCAAAAGAAAGGCCCGGTAGATTCACCCGAACCGGACTGTAACCTGTCCTTGGCATCGTCAGAGCTCTTCTTCATCTGAGCCTTGCGGTGCTTTTTCTTTTTGTGTGTGGGTTTGAAACCTGCGAGTCTGCTGCTCCCAGAGTTCAGCGCGGATGGTGTAAAACTTAGGGAGGCTGTTGTGCATACTTGGGATACTGAGGTGCCGCCCCGATTTTGGGTCTTTTACAGTCCTCCCTTGCTCACCTGGTTGCGAAGCACCATGGAAAACTTTCTATCCGAGCATTGCTTGTTGGCATGCCAACCATCCTACGCCCTCAGCATGGATTGCAGTGCTGTGCAACGACCATCAATAATTCTGACTGAATTCGCGTAGCGCCGCTGAGGACATTTATCCTGGGGGACTGTATCCATCGGGGTGAAGAGATGCAGCTGGATGACCAACTACAATGAACTAGATCTGTCAGAGCCCTCGATTTAGAAACTGGGCTTCGGGTTGCAGCGATGCGCCGCAGGGTGTTTCGGGCTTTGGGGCTCGTGCTTCAAAATAGTTTCTTGTACAGTTTGACAAAAAGGGGCAGATGCGTCGCCCAAGACAAGCTGAACCTGGAGACACTAATCCCAGTACGTACGTAGGGCCGGGGAACGTGTAGGCTTGTGGGCCACCATCTGCCATGACTCACCGATAATCACCACACCCGCAGGGTCAATTTACAAGCCGTACCAACAGATCTGCACCCTGCAGTACTGAACTTACTGAACTCCGCACAGAACCAATACCAAACTTACATCCTATACTAGCCTCGCCCTTTCAACTCCACCAGAGCTGCTGAATAAGGCGGAAACCGTGAAATTCTTAAACTCTAGATTGAGAAAGCCTAAATCCCTAAACCCTCAACCCTAAAGCCTTGAATTTTTAGTGCCTTAAACCTACAAGTGTTAAACACCCAGATGTTTGAGCTCGAAGCCTGATGTTTGAGCTCGAATACCTAAACCCTTAAAATCCTACACCAGAAACCTAACCCCACAACGCCCAGATCCGGAATCAACCCGAACCAAAAAATCTGAAATCATAAGCCAAGTGGTCCTAAACCCTAAGCCCTAAACCCCCAAACCCCCAAACCCAATACACAAACCCCAAATACCTCCACTCTGTTCTGCCTCGAGGTCGATGGCCGCAGCTTCGCGCTTCCGCATGAGGAAGTCGGCTTGCCTAAGAAGAGGCTTCCTTACCTCTGCTTCCTGTAAAGGGCTACTATTTTAACAGGGCTGCTATTTTAACGGTGCTTGAAAAAGGCTGCCATGGGCCATAGCGCTTTAAAAAGGGTTACCAGAAAGGTTCCCCATTGGCTTCCTCTCAGGATTCTTTGAAGGGCGATAAGAAGGCCTAGGAATAGGCTTCCTTAAAGCACGCTTTTGAAGGCTGCTACTACTACTACTGCTACTACTACTACTACTACTACTACTACTACTACGACGACGGCGCCTGCGACTGCGACTGCGACTGCGACTGCGACTGCGACTGCGACTGCGACTGCGACTGCGGCTGCGACTGCGACCACGACTGGTCTACGACGACAACGACGACGACGGCGACGACTACGACTACGACTACGACTACGACTACGACTACGACTCGACGACGACGACGTCGACGACTACGACTACGACTACGGCTACGACTACGACGACGACGACGACTACGACGACTACGACTACGACGACGACGACAACGACGACTACGACAACGACTACGACGACTAAAAACTACTACTCCGTCTTCTTCTTCTTTTTCCAGCCCTACATTTTCGGCTCGAACACATGGTGCAGAAGGCTCGGTCTCTCCACCAAGTGCAGCATCGAGCACATTATCCCTGAACACGTAAACACAAGCCTGAAGCTCTCGCTTGAATCAGGCCTTATAATGTATTTAGGGGCCGTAATAATCCGAAAAGGGTTCTGGGGTAAAGGGGCACGAAGGAACACTATTGAACAATATTTTAGGCTTCTACATTAAGCCAACCCAAAGAACCGCACTCTGAAGTCCAAGATACAGGAGCATGCAGGAGATAAACAAGCTGGAAATCAGCTCATTCGCTACAATCAGCGCCAGCTCCTCTCGATGTGTCTACTGACACGTCCATGCTTCAGGAGCAACATTGAGCAACCATGCATAGGGGCATCGGTCCTGAGATTAAACTTGACGACTGACCGAAGAGCTACGCTAGCTCCTGCTTGTTCAAAAACTGGTGCAGCATCTAGTATGAGCGAACCTTGCTCCATGCTACGGGGCGAGTGGCGAGTTCTTGATACTTCGGTTTAAGGGTTCCTGATTGAACCTGCCTGTTGTACCGATCGGGAAAGCATATTCAGGAATCCGCACGCCTTAGGTTTTTGTATGTTTTTGTCGGGTTGCAGGCAAAGGCTTAACGATTAGAGTTGCGGGTTCTGGAATGGAAGGTCGTGAGCAGGACCAAGCTTGAAAGCTTGAGGCCGGCATATAAAGGTAGGGGCTTTAATAATTATGATAGGGTTTTGGGGGGTTCCTTTAAAGGCTTTAAAGGGTTCCTTAAAGGGTTCTACAAGGGCTACGTAGGGTGTCGGCGTAGGGCCCTTCTATATAGGTACAGAGGACGCTTTGGGGGTTGAACATCATAGAAACGTTGTAGTACTCCTAAGTAACCCGATAGCCTGCTAGAATCAGAAGGGTGGCTCCTTGGAGCTTCCTTGGAACCTTTCTCCCATCCCGATGTCCTTGCTGCCCGCGCCAACAGCCTCCTGCGACCAATCGATGGCGACGGACACTGGAATCCTTGAAACGGTTCAGGTTTTAGGGTCCAGGGTTCAGGGTCTCGGATCTTAGGTTGCAAAGCCAACCAGCGGGCCCTTGAGGGAACCTTGGACTAACAATGCACTCCTTAATCAGGGAGGAGGGGGGTGTACTTGGCAGGCCTAGTTTAGCACAGGCGGGATATGATATGCCTTCTCTTTTTTGAAGCGTGTTATGTGGCTAGGCATACTATACATGTAAAATCTTTCCACGGTCCGCCTGATGGTCCAGGCGTCCTTACTGCAGATTTGGCTTCAGGCTTGCTTGTGCACTTGGCGCGAAAACTCTGGCATCGTAGAGCTTCACATGGCCTTATTGAAGCCTCGTGCTGTAGGCGTTAGGGATGATTTGTGACGCATGGAACCACATCCGAGCCAGTGCTGAACTGTTGGGTTCCGGAACCCTCAACCCGAAAACCCTAAACCCCAAAACGCCAAGACCCTCAACCCTAGACACTACGTACGCCCCGCCCCAAAACCCCTCAAGCTGCCCTCACCCCTTGGACCGAGCATCAGGGCAACCCGCACCCAGACGGAGAAAACGGGCTCTGCAGCAATGAAGCTCATCCTGAGAGGGCTCAAGGCTTGATTTTATGGAGGGTTTAGGGTTGAGGGTCAGGGCGTTTAGGGTTTAGGGTTTGTTTGGGGTTTAGGGCTTAAGGTTCAAGGTTTGACGGTTTAGGGTTGAGGGTTTAGGGTTTACGTAAGTCGGGGGTGTAATTTAGAACCATAGCGGCTCTATGAAAATAAGGGCCATTGCCGGGTCCTGGTAGGCTCCCGGGCTTAGAGTTCAAGTCGCGCGCCGTCGGAGAGCTTCAGAAGCCTCTCGAGTTTCAACCTGCAGCCCCTTTCGTCTTGAAAGGTTTGTGGCTTTGGGCTTAGGGGTTTGGGATTTAGGGGTTTAGGGTTTAGGGCCACGAGCCGGAACCCGAATGGGAGGGGCCTGGGGGGTTTGGGTGCTGCATGAAATTTCGGAAGACCGCGAAAGACAAGCAAACCCCGAAACCCTTACTCAGGGTTGGATACCCCCCAAAGCATTGATGCTAATCCCTATATGCGAAATCAAAGTCAGGAGGCATCATGGAAGCTACGGTGTTGGTCGGCAGCAGTTGCTTGGGCGTGTCAGCTCGGGTCAGTACCTTTCGTTTGCTACTCTTGGCTTTGGGGCTTGAGAATCGACTTGGGGAATCAACACTCCGGGGCATTCTCTAGATCTTCCCAACCCTAAACCCTAAACCCTAAACCCTAAACCCTAACCCTGAACCCTAAACCAAAACCCCAAACCCTAAACCCTAAACCCTAAACCCACACTATACCGTTCTTGCTATCAGTATCAATCTCGAAGGAGTTCGGCCTTGGGAGGTTTCAGGAGAGGTGTCTGAGCTTTCAGTCGGAGTTGCTGGCTCTCGGGATCCACTACCAAGCCGGGTTTAGGGGTTTAGGGTTTAGGGTTTAGGGTTTAGGGTTTAGGGCTTCTGAAACTTAGAAGGCCTTATAAACTCCAAACTCTAAACCCGTGACCAAGATCTCCGTTTTAAAGATTTTCGGGTCTCCTGAAGCCATCAACCGGGCTCTCTAGGAAGCAGGTAGTGCAGCACGAAAGGAGCCCGGGTAGCAAGATTTCAGGTGCAGCTAAAGCCAGAAGCCCGAGAATCCTGCAAACTTTGGAAACTTCAGGGTTTAGGATTTAGGCTCTAGGGTTTTCCGAGAATCCTAGAAGTCCCTCTTTCATCGAAGTAGTTCGAGTGACCCGAAAATTGCAGGACTGAGTGCAGGAACCCCGGAACTTTGGAAACAAAACCTTCTTTGCAAGAGATTTCAAGGCTCCAGTTTCAAAGTCCCAGGCTGGGAGTACATCTACTAAAGCGCCTTAAGAATTAGGAAAGGGTTTTCGAGGTTGTACTAGAGTATGAGCATAACACGGAACCCAAAGAAACACCATTACAAAGTATTCCGTCCCCTGCGTTCAGCAAGCTTCATGTCAAGGCTGACATGGAGAGCGTAAGATTCTGTTTTGGGTGAAAGGTTGCTAGCGCTGATCGGTGAAGGGAAGGGTCTTGGTGATGGAAAATTCTCAGGGCTTAGGGATCAGGGAACCAGCTGCGGGAAATTTATTCAACATAGAACAAAACAGAACAGAAGCCACACTGAGTTCTAAACATTCAATCTGGAAGGTATGTAATTTGTACAGGCACGAAAACCACACCAACAAAAACTGAATTGCAATTCCTGATTCAGTGAACGTACAAACGTACGAGTCCTCAGCACGTGAGACCTTCAATATCCTTCTTGGGTTAATGAAGTTAGCTTGAATTCCCATGATTACTATATACTTCAACAATCTACAATCTCTTTTGATCCTTCCCTGTATTCAGATACCAAGATAGGGAAAACTGTGTTATTTGCTTGATATGGTGTTTAGCCCAACCCGTTCCGCTTCTCCAAGCTACGGAGGCTACATTCACAATGATCGTGAACTTCCGGGACTCCATGGCATCCATCCTGGGCAGAAAAGGCTCCGTGTCTAGTGCCTAGGCTGTCGGCTGCGAAAGCTTTGCGTTTAGAGCTTCGAAATTTGCAAAGGCAGGTGCGCTGCTTGGGTTTGAGCTAAATTATGCGCAGTTGACGCTTGCTGGGTGCCAGAACACCCTGTACCCTAAACCCCGAAACCCTAACTCCAAATCCTAGTCTATCAAACACGTTCGGCTGCCCACTATACTATAGGACCTCATAACAGAAAGAGTAGAACGGCTCTTGGGGTACATAATAATAATAACAATATATATATATATATATACTGTAGTCATGAACAGGAACACCAAGGAATACTAGTAGTATTGATAAATGTTCGGGCTTGTATGCCATCCTTTGCCTCATTCACCTCACCCGATCGGCTCTGTGGGCAGAAACCGAACCGATAAGCTCGGTGCAGCCCTCAAAATATCGGAGCCTAAGTGACTACACATACTATTTTTGGGATTCCTATTCAATCTCTTCTTAGAGTTCTAGTAGTCATCGTATCATATACCCCGAGACCCCATTCCAATTTTTATGGCCCCTAAATTATGCTGCAGTTGCTACCCTGCACAAGATCAGTTTCGATCTCAATGATCTAATGAGCGATGAGAAGACACAACATCGGAGTCAGCTTGAACAAATATCACGTCACCTGACCGCTCCAGCTATTAAACCCGTAGCGGCCGCCTGCAAACGCTCAACGGTGACATGGTCGACTTGGTGCAGAGAGTGCAGCCCGACCGGTCATTGCTGCAAAGAATCCGCGCTGTGGGGCTGCAGGAACAGCTCAGCGCCAGCAACGAGATAAGTACAAACCTGTCAGGGGTTTGATCTTTCGTGATGGGAAAGCTTTATGCTCAGCAGCACTGCAGCCTCCGAATTCCCTGGAGTTCAACAGCCTTGCTCTTTACCACTTGGGGAAAACTTTCATGACATGTTCGCAAACAAAGAGATGCTAATAGTATCTGAGTTACAAGCGCGGACGTTTGTGCTGCTGGTGGCGTTGTTGATGTTGGTGGTGTTGTTGGTGGTGGTGCTGTTGGTGCTGTTGGTGTTGGCGGAGTTGGTGTTGTTGCTGTTGTTGTTGCTGTTGCTGCTGTGGCAGTGGGTGCGGTAGAAAAAGGTGTTATGTGGGTGGAAGGTCGTCCCAACGGACGCAATCGACCGTACAGGGTCGTGTGCGTCCTGACGGACGAAGTCGACGTACCTACGGGTCGTTTTCGTCCTAACGGACGCAATCGCCCTAACGGTCGTTTTACGAAAACGACCTAACGGTCGTGTGC